GCCTCCCTGCCCTCCAGCTGCCTCCCTGCTCTCCAGCTGCTTCACTGCACCCAGCTTCTCCTCTGCATCCAGCTGCCTCCCTGCCCTCCAGCTGCTTCACTGCACCCAGCTGCTTCTCTGCATCCAGCTGACTCCCTGCCCTCCAACTGCCCCACTGCATCCAGCTGTTCCAGTGTGGTGTGTCCCTTTCATCGCTTGGTTCAGGTGGTGACTCCAGGTCCCTTTGTAATTCCTTGGCATTTTGTGGGGAGATAATTAGAGGCTGGCTGTGCAAAACCCCCTTTCTTTCCTTTTTTCCGTTGGTTAGTTGTGGCGTCTCTTGTCGATTTGTCTGAATTAGTTGTTACTCCATGGTTTGCCAAATGGTGCTTTTTCTAACAGTGTCGTTCTTTGTTACTGTTTTCCCACCATAAGGAAGAGGCTTTCCCTCTGCTTCACTTAGTGTGTGGTGGGAAGCACGGCCTCCTGAGCTGCTTTCTGTGCAGTGTGTTAGGTATAGCCTGCCGTTGTTACCTCTCTGATGTTCAGATTGTCTGCAGTTTGGGCAGTGGCTTCAGGCTGGCTCCTTGATCTTTCCTGACCTGTCTCCATCATTTTACTTTATTTTTAGCTCTTTCTCACTTCGTGGCACAATAACTAGTTCACGGATCATCTTGTTTTTTCCTCGCCCCAGCCCCGATATTACTGATTCATTTAGCAGAGTGGGCACTAAGTGCGCTCTTTGCCTGCACAGCACAGCCTCTCAGTGGACTGAGCTCGTGAGCATGTATCTAAATACTGCATAACCAAACACACACTTAACATAATTACACAGCTGCATTCATACTGAGGTCTCTTTCTGCACCTAACCGTAAGAAAACCCTGTGTTAGAATCGGGCATCGGGCTGACAGGGTGCTTTGTCTTGCTGGTTCCATGTTTGTGACTCCACTTGGACTGTGAGGTGTCTGGCTTCTCTTTCCTCACATGCAGGAAGCAGTTGCAGAATGCTCACCTCTACAAGGCAATACACACACACACACACACACACACCGTCTATCTTCACGTTGAAAATGGTGGTCAGCAGTCCTGGTCAGCCTTTGTTCCACACAGGGCCTTGTCAGGTCGTCATCCAAACAAACAGGTAAAGCCGTGGTCTTCAGCTCCGCCTGCAGCGTGCTTTCCCGGAATGCTAAAGTGCAGAGTTGAAAATCAGGAGTGGCCGAGAAGGAAGGAGGTTAATTTCAGATAGATACAGTTTATTAAAATGACACCTATGCCAGGCGGTGGTGGCGCACGCCTTTAATCCCAGCACTCAGGAGGCAGAGGCAGGCGGATCTCTGTGAGTTCAAGGCCAGCCTGGGCTACAGAGTGAGTTCCAGGACAGGCTTCAAAGCTACACAGAGAAACCTTGTCTCAAAAAAACAAACAAAAACAACAACAACAACAAAAAAAAACCCAAAAAAACTCTATTAAAAAAATGACACCTATTATGGGGGAAAGTTGATCATCTTCCTCTCATTGTACACTAATTGCTGGAGAGAAGAACTAAGAAAGACTGTGTTAGATCAGTAAGAATACCTATGAGGTGTCTGTGTAGGAGCTGGAGGGAGAATGATTGTGAACTGAATGAGGTTGGATTGCGCCCATATTGTCTCAGGACTCCAGTGCACTGTGCCACTTGAGGTCAGGGGTCATGGCTTGAAGGTGCAGTGCGGGCTGCCTTCACTTGACCTTTCCCAGAGACCACCTGTGGTAAATGTAATGCAGTGTACTACTCCTGGCTCAGTGTGTGCTTTCTGGGAAGGATGTGAGTGTGTACATGTGTGTACACATATGTGCACTCACTTCTAGAACTCATAAAACGATGGGTGAGGGTTTTGTGTTATGGGCAGAGTATTTGCTCTTCTGGTATTGTTTACTTGTTTAATGATTATTATTTTTGCATTAAATCATAATGTGCAATTTTGGTCCTTGATTTGGGGAGATAGGCTTAATTTCATATATTGTGTTCTGCGCTTTCTATAAATATTCTCATTCTTGTTGTCTAGCATTCTGGGAAATTTGGCTGTTGTACCTCCTGAAGTCCTTCATATGACTGAAACATTTTGTCAGAAAAGGATAGCGGTTTCTTAACACTTTAAGAAAGAGGTTTTTGATGATAGTCAAGTTGGAGAGTAGAAGGTCATGAGTGAGGGTGGGATGATTGCTAACAGGCCAGGCCTTCTTGGGGGAGGGCTTTTGGGAGGTGGTAGAAATATTTCCACATTAGAGAATGGTCCTCATTTCACAGCAGTGAATATAGGAAAACCACTGAATTGTATTCTTTAAATGAGGTGAGTTTTATAATACTTAAATACAAACCAAATGGTAGATGCTCAGGTGTCTTCAGTTTTGGGGTGTTTTCTGTGATCCCCTTTGAGGGAGATGATGATAATCCAGACAAATGCAGGTGGAAAGAGAGCTCTCAGGGCTCTTTTTGAAGCCTTTTAGGACAGGCTTGAGGTTACTGAGTGAACAGCGTCTCCTAGGAAAGGTGGACCAGAGTCCTCAGGGAAAGCAGCATTTTCCTGGCGATGACTCCCTCTCTGACTTTGTCTTGTGACTTGGTCCCAGCTAGGGAGCTCTCTACTGGTCCCTCTTTGTTCCCTGGAATGGGGGGGAAATCACTCTATTTGACAGGAGATTATGGACCTGATTTGACCTCTGCTTGCAATGTGGTGGCATTTTTAGACTTTTGTAGACCTTGGATTCATTTTTTAGTAAGTGTCAAATGAAGAGAATCTCCTTCCTGCTGATGGTCTCAGACCCAGTAAATTGTTTTTTTTGGGAAGGGAAAGGCCTGGCCGAGTAGGGTGGAACTGGCCATAGTTGGGTTTCCTACAAAAGCTGTGGGGAAGTTGACAGAAGCAGCTTTCTGCTGTGTTCCTTCCTGCTGAGAGTGACGTTAGCGTGATGTAATATCACAGCCATGCCTCCCCGAGCGCTGCTTATGTACCGCACATTGGAGTCACTTTTGCTCACTCAGCATGGGGACCATGATATGGCGTATCGGCTTAGATTCCCAAACAGAAACCATTAATTTGCAGACAGGCATATATACTCAGTGGCAAGAATTTTCATTGTACGTGCTGTGGCGTTCAGTTGACACTCCGTACAGTTGACACCCTGTACCGTGTATTTTAACCTCACTTGAAAGCAGGCATCTCAGGGGGAAGACAGGATTTTATTTGGCTTTGAAATGGCTTTTGGGCATGGTTCCTGAAAGAAGTGAAGCTCCAAGACTTGTGTTCTTTGTAGCGCTTTGACATTCTCTGTTCTGGTGTATACATTAAATGCACATAAAGCAGGCTGAGGGCATCCTCTGTGCAGAGTACCTGCAAAGGGGC